GAATCCGGCCTGCTAGGAGGAGCCAGGCTGAAGGGCAGCTGGAGAAAAGGGAGGACACGGAAGAGCTGGCAAGAGAAGGGAGTTCCCAGGTGTCATAAGCGCAAGAGACAGCTGTCCTGGGGCTGGAGTTAGCTCAAGATGGCTCTGGACCTGCAGCAGTCAGTCAGGCAGTCAGTCTCCACAGCTTCTTTTTGGAAGTTTTCATTCACAGTTTTCCCTATTGGCCAAATATCACATTTTATGTTTATAAGGGGGCACATACTATTTATTAAATGAAGTCCCTCATAGCTGGGACGGCTGTTCCTAGGATCTGATATAGTTGAAGGTGAGTAGTTAGCAGGACATCAATCTTCAGGAACAGCTGGTAAAGACCATTAAGGAAGGAACTCCTGGGGACTGGAGAGATGGCTCACTGGTTAAGCAATACCCACATGGCAGTAAGTAACTGTAAGTAACTCCAGTGCCAGATCTGACATCCTCACATAGACGTGAACACAGGCAAAACACCAACGCATGTAAAACAGAGAAACATAAGCTATTAAAAAAGAAAGAAGCTCCTGGGTTATACAAAATCTATTAGACATCACTATCTGGATCTGACTTTTTAAACACCCTTTCTGTCTGACATAGCATTTATTTGTGATATAGGTTACTGTGGTGGTTTGAAAGAAAATGGCCCCAAAACATATTCATAAAAAGTAGTTAGGCAGTAGTGGTGCCCACCTTTATTCCAGCACTCACAGGCAGACAGATCTCTGTGAGTTTGAGGCCAGCCTGGTTGCTCTTCTACAGAGCCAGTTCTAGGATGGCTAGGACTACATAGGGAAACCCTGTCTCAAACAAAACAAAAAAACATCAACAAAAAACAACCCCTCCTCCCCCACCAAACAGAAAACACTTAGGATTTTCTCTTATATAGGCCTGTTTAAAAAAAGGGATCTTAAAAAAAATAAAAACCTTTTCATTATTTTTGTTTTTAAAATAGTAATAGTCAAAAACATACTAAAAATGTTTGTATTTATCTATATACTCATATATAAACAAGACATATCTAAGAGCACAGATATAAATTACCCTCTTAATCTTTGGAATAAAGTGTTTAGTATCTCAAGGAAGGACAATTGCTTAGAAGGAAAGACACATCCTGCAGTAGGGGTGATCGTCTGTTTTTTCTTCTTTTTTTTTGCTTTTTTGTTTTTCAAGACAGAATTTTTCTGATTAATAGCCTTGGATATCCTGGCACTTGCTTTGTAGACCAGGCTGGCCTCGAACTCACAGAGATCCGCCTGCCTTTGCCTCCCAAATGCTGGGATTAAAGGTGTGTGTCACCATGTCCTGCTTAAAAGCAGATTTAATTTTTTTTATTTAAAAATTTATGTTATGTGTTTTTAAAAAAGATTTAGGACATTAGCCATCTCTTTTTCTGACCTATGTGGTCATGTTGAGTAAATGTTTTTGTCTTTTTTTCTTTTTGGTTTTCTGAGACAAGGTTTCTCTATATAACAGCTCTTCTGTAACTCTATCTGTAGACCAGGCTGGCCTTGAACTCACAGAGATCTGCCTGTCTCTGCCTCCTGAGTGCTGGGATTAAAGCTGACTTTTCCTTTTTTTTTGTCTTGTAACATCATTTTGTTTCCTTAAATTTTTTGATTTACTATGAGCAAAATGAAGTTGGGCTGAGTTAAGAACTTTAGTTTACATGAGCACTTTGTTACAAGACAATTGGGCAAAAAAAATGCATTATGTAAAAATAAAATATAACCACTTGTAGACAGATAGTTCATATACATAATCATATAGAAGATATTTTTTAATAAACAGAGTTTGAACTTCATTATTTATTGGGATTATATTTTCTAAAAAAAACCTTAATACTCCAAAGATATCATTTTAATAGGTATTAAGATATTTAGAGATAAGCTTTCTAACTTTTTTTTCTAATCTGGATGCCCTATTTTCATGTAGTTGTGTCATGGGTCTCTAGTAATTCATGTATCTATGGTTGTTTTCATATGCTGTTTTTGTCAACGATGTTAACATGTTATGGCCACTTAGGTTCTCTTTTCTTTTTTTTTTTTTTTTTTGGTTTTTCGAGACAGGGTTTCTCTGTATTGTCTTGGAGGCTGTCCTGGAACTCGCTTTGTAGACCAGGCTGGCCTTGAACGCACAGAGATCCGCCTGCGCCACCAACGCCCGGCTCAGTTCTCTTTTCAAATTCATTTCTTTTATGTGCTCAAATTATTTTTTGGCATGTTCAATTAAAATGCGTTCACTCACACATGAGTACACACAAAGCACACACAAAATAAACAACAGTAAAATGTTAAAAAGGGAGACAGGGATCCATAATAAGGGAAAACATAAAATCCAATTCGTATTTTGATTCTAGCAATTTCTTCAATTAACTCGACAGAATATGGCTTCTTCTGGGAACCGGCATTTTATATGTGTGCTAAGGTCAGTCCAGGCTCTTTCGTGTGCTCACGACTAATAGCTTAGAGTTAGGCCAAATGAAGGCTAAAGATTAGCACCTCCTTAGCTCTGACAAAAGAAATGGAGCCCTGAGCCTCACAGAACTCCAGCTGCTCCAGTACGGACCTGATGGGTCAGGATCCGATTGGGCATTTATTTGCTAAGCAATTATGTTCCTAAATAAGTTGTAGAAGCAAATTACTAAGTAATATTCATAGCGTGATTCTACTTTCATTTTTAAAATGTGTATATTTAATCAACACTACAGCCAAGTGTCTACTTTAATATCTTAAATTTCCATGTTCCATGTTCGAAAATAGAGGCTCAGTCCCCCGCCCAGGTTACCTCAGCTGGTGCTTATCGTTCTGTTCCCCACTCAAAAGTCCTGGAGGGTTATTTTGAACCATTCCCTATGACTGTAATGCAAAAGGTTCTTTGTAAATATACTGCTGTAGGCCAGGCATGGTGGCACACATCCTTAATCCCAGTACTCTGGAGGCAGAGGCAAGAGGAGCTCTGTGAGTTTGAGTCCAGCCTGGTCCACATAGCAAGCAGGGTAGCGGGTGCTACATAGCAAGACTGTCTCAAACAACAACAGAAAACCAAGCTAGTCCTTCCTTAAAGTCCGCCACTGTCAGTGCCTTCTCACTCCCCCTAATGAATCTGTATCCACACACACACAAACTAAACCAGACGGACAGGCTTTGGAGGATGGCTCACTTGATAAGGCACTTGTCATGCAAACATGTGGGTGAAGTCACAACCCATGGAACCCATATAATGAGCACCTCACAGGCACGATGGCCGCCTGTAATCCCACACTTGGGAGATAGAGCTGGGGGGGGTCCCTGAGGGTAAATTTTTTAGATTAGAGTAACTGGAATTGGGGAGATCCAGGTTCAGCTAGAGACCCTGCCTTAATAGAGAGCAATTACCGGATGTAAAGCAGACCTCCTTGGCCAAAAAGTTGTGTCCACACAAATGTAAACATGCATACACACACACACACACACACACACACACACACACACACACACACACACACACAAGAAAAAAAGAAAGAAAGAAAGATAGAACGAGACTTTTGGTGGTCCAGGCCCTTAATCCCAGCAATTATGAGGTAGAGGCAGGCAGATTTTTATGAGTTAAAGACCAGCAAGTTCCAGGACAGCCAAAGCTACACAGAAAAACCCTGTGTCTAAAACAAAACAACAAAAGAAAGGAAGGAAGGAAGGAAGGAAAGAAGGAAGGAAGGAAGGAAGGAAGGAAGGAAGGAAGGAAGGGAGAGAAGTTGCTGAAGGTAAAAGTGGCTGACCAGCACTGGGGGTGACAGACTGGGGGTGACAGCCAGCACAAGAAGCCTTGAGTTTGGTACTGAATTTTGGGGGGAGGGTAGCATGAGGCTTTTCTGTGTTGTTGCCTTTAAGGAAGTTCCCCTGGTAACTTGTGTAACATTAAATTTGAGAAACACCATCACTTTGGCAATGAGACTGCAGGGTCCTACTTCCCGTCCTCCACAGGGAAAAACTCTCCCTGCACTGTCACGCTTCTCTAAGCAAGAACCACATCCCCCAGGCCCCATCCCTATCCCCTGTCCTCCTCCTGGTCCTCCCCCAGGGTGTGGTCCTCCTGACAGTGCCACCTCCTGTGACTGCTTGCAAAAGGAATGCTCAGGCCCCATCCCTATCCCCCGTCCTCCTCCCGGTCCTCTCCCAGGGTGTGGTCCTCCTGACAGTACCACCTCCTGTGACTGCTTGCAAAAGGAATGCTCTTCCTCAGGTTCTAGCTTGCATCGTGTCACCTGCCAGAGCCACCTCCAGCCTCTGTTCTTGTTTGCTGCCTTTGGGATGGCAGAAAAAACGGCCCGACAGCAGACTCTCCCCCAGCCTTCCAGCCTCCAAAACTCCCCTCTTTGCTCCCCCAACCCTTTTTTTCCCCCAAACTGGATGTGAGATTTATTACTGAATACAATTTGGTGTGACATAGGACCCAGCACAATGGAAGCCCTCAAACACCAGACCTGCCATTTCTCCAGGGGATGACTGGGGACATTTATCACTTCATAGCCATCAGTGGCAGCCACCTCTCAGCTGCCATTATCTTCAAATTCATTAGAGGTGGTGAAGCCTCACTTCATTGAGATGTGGATCATCTTGTGGCCAGGGAACTTGAAATTGGCATGGTTTCAGTCACATGTTCTTTATTCTGCAGCTTGGTGAGGACAAACATAATGACGTGGCCAATATAAACCCTGGCCGCTATGCCCAGTGCTTCCCCAAAGCGCTCCACTCTGAATTCCAGTCTGGAGCCTTCAGCCCCGCACAGGACAGCATCTTGTTGATGCGGATGGTGAAAAGGGCATGTCCTCACTGGAATATGGAAGCCATTTCCCCCACAACTCTTCACAATGTACTTGTTGGCACAAATAGGGGTGTACGGACTCCAGGGCTTTGAAGGAGGGTTGCTCACGCTCAATCTGACACCACGTGGCCACATAATAGGAATTCATCAGCTTTTACCTTCTTCAGAAACAGGTCAGAGATCTACATCTTGGCACTGGAAAGGCCTCAGCCGAAGGGGGGTGAGGATCCTGCTTGTTCTTGTGATACCGGTAAACCACTCAAGACTTCAGAGCACGTGATACCCACCTCAGGGCCATGTGAAGAGAACATGGGCTGCCCTTTGCAAGATGACAGCTCCCACCACTCTGCTCTGTCCCTTTAAACAACTCAAAACAAAACTTAGAAATCCTTTAGAGGGCACACTGTTATGCCAGCACTCAAAACTGAGGCAGCAAGATTGTGAATCCCAGGTCAGCATGAGCTACACAGAGAGAACCCGTCTCAAAACCACCACGATGTGTGTGTGTGTGTGTGTGTGTGTGTGTGTGTGTGTGTGTGTGTGTGTGTGTGTGTATGCAAGCCTTAGCAGCTGCCCTGAGGCCACAAGAGGGACAAGGAATATTAACCACTAGGCTCCATCCCATTGGAGCTCAGCCCAAATCAACTAAGCCAGGAGCCTGCTTTAAATGCGGTCAGTATAGTCATTTGTCACAATGTTGCTCTGATCCTCAGCTGCCAGCTAGGCCATGCCCTGTCTGCCAACACCTAGACACTGGAAATCAGAATGCCCCCATGCGGGCTCATCCTATATGCCACGCCATGGAGGTCCAGCCTCACCAATACCGGCCATCTGAGACTCTGCCAGCCTTCAAACTCCTCAGCCTGGTGGAGAAATGAGGGAGCCTTGGAGACTCATTCCCCTCTCCCAGCCTGACAATAGCATGTAAGTCCATTGACTTTCTATTGGGCTTGGGAGTTACCTATTCTGTTTTGACCTCTCACTCGGGTCCCACAGTTCCCTTGCCAATTCCTGTCACAGGGGTGGATGGGACCCATTCCTTCCCATTTCGGAGAAACCTGGGACTGCTTGAGCTGGAAAGGCTGTCTCACTTCTGTTCATCTACTCCTCCCTCTCAGGCCTATCTGATGGCGTTTGATGAGCAGGGTACTGAGAGCTCACCAGCTCATTAGTTATGTTTCCTGCTAAAAATACAGACAGGTGTGTGTGCCTCTTTTACAGGCTTCATAGTCCAGAATGAACAGGTTTCAGATGCAACTTCAGAGGTTCAGAGTTTTAAATTTCCTCTGATTGTCTTCTAAAAATGTTCATGCCTTTTAACCCGTAGCCCTTTGCTATAACACCAAGATGTAAATCCGTTCCAGTTGTTTTACAGATGCCTGCAGGTTCCTGGGGGAAAGAGCTGGGCTACTGTGTCAAGAAATCTGCCTGATGGAAATTAATATCAGTCTCCAGAGCCTGTTTTGACCCACCTATTTTCAAGCATATTTTGCAGGTTCACTCTTCCTGAAGATGGTCTATCTCCCGTGAGAAAGGCTCTTTGCTGGCCTGGAGCTCATCAGGGAACCCTGGGGTAGGGTGGGGGATCAACAGTCAGCTGCACTGTGCCCTGAATTTTCAAGTTGGTTCTGTGGAATCACACTCAGCCAGGCAGGTTCCTTACCAACGGAGCCCTCTCCTGAGCCCTAAGCTTTCTTCTCGTGTCTTGTTTTTTGAGATGTGGTGGTGTTAGTGGTGTCTCATGTAGCCCAGATTGGCCTCCCAAGGTCTTTTTGGCAGAAGATGACTTTCTGATCCTCCTGCCTCTGCTTCCCAAGTGCTGGGATTCCAGGCTTGTTCCACTCTGCCTGGCCCTCGATACAACTTTTTCCATTCCAGTGGTTCTCCGACCCTGTGACACAGTTCCTCAGTTGTGGTGGCCCTCCAGTCAAAAAATTATTTTCCTTGCTACTTCATAACTGTAATTTTACTGTTATAAATTGTGATGTAAATATCTGTGTTTTCTGATGTTCTTGGGCAACCACTGTGAAAAGGTCGTTTGATCCCCCAAGGGATCAAAACCCACTGGTTGGGAACTGCTGTTCCTATTTCAAAAAGAAATGCAACAATAGAGAGGTTTTGGTTGGTTGTTTGTTTTTTCCTGAAGTATTTTTTTCCATTTTTACTTACTTGTATTTATATATTTAAAATGAACTTATAATGTCATGTATGTATGAAAATAAAATGTTCTGTTGGAAGTAATGAGAAACTTCCCATGGGGAAGGGCTGTGAGTTCATGAATCCTTACATAGAGAATCGGTTGTTCTCTACAAAGTTAATGTATGTGGTCACAGCAGCGCCATCCCAGGGCTCACAGAACACAGAGAAGTCTTTTGTAAGTGCTGTGGAGGTCAAAACAGGAAAGGAAGCTGGTTTTCAGCTCTTGGCAGGAGGTGGTGGGAAACACCATGGAAATCTACCCTCTGGCCACATAGAGGGTCCTCAACTTTGTTATCTGTAAGTAAGAGCCTCCCTCCTGCTCAGGATCTTGTTAAATTGTTCAAACTACCCTTAGACTTCTGAGCCCACAGACAACTCCTTCATCCTGTGGGGCCCCTGGGCCTATGTACCACCCAGACTCAGAGAGACAACTCCCACTAACCTCAAGGTCCCTCCTGCTTTGTGTGTGTTTGCATGTGTGGTATATGAATGCCTGTGGGTGTGCTTGCTCTGTGGTGCCTGGGGAGACCAGAGGTTGACATTTGGATGTCTCCTTCAGTCACTCGTCACTAATTTTTAAAATAAATTTATTTGCTTAGCTACGTGTGTGTGCACCACAGGCATCACATGCCTGTGAAAGCTAGAACTGGAATTAGAGGCGTTATGAACTGCCTGATACGTGTGCTAGAATTGAACTCAGGTCCTCTGGAAGAGCAGTAGTGCTCTTAAGCACTGAGCCTCCCTCCAGCCCCCATCATCATCATCACTATGTTGTTTTTTTTTTAACACAGGGTCTCTCACTGAACCAGGGGTTCACGATTCCTCTAGGTTGGCTGGCCAATGAGTCCCAGAGGCTGCCTGGCCCCACCCTCCAGTATTCAGAAACAATCATGTGTTGTCACACCTGGTTTTTTATAGGGACTGGGGATCTGAACTCAGGTCCTTAGGCTTGCACAACCTCTAGGTTGGCTGGCCAGTGAGTCCCAGAGGCTGCCTGGCCCCACCCTCCAGTATTCAGAAACAAGCATGTGTTGTCACACCTGGTTTTTTTTTATAGGGACTGGGGATCTGAACTCAGGTCCTTAGGCTTGCACAGCAAGCTCTTTATCCTCTGAGTCATCTTTGGAAGAGCAGTCAGTGCTAATTAAAATCTGAGCCATCTCCAGTCCTTAGGAGATAAATGTAAGAAAACTTTCCAATCATTATACTATTGTAACAAACCCTATGTGATACACATCCCCACACCCCAACACACACATGCTTAGGCCTAAGCATTGGATGTTTTGGTTTGACATTTACCTAGAAGGAGAAATTGGGCCTGGCCAGATGGCTCAGCAGGTAACTGCACTAGCCAAGCAATCCTGACTGACTTAAGTTCCATACCCAGAACACTCATGGAGCTCATGGAGGAGAGAGAACACTGATTCCTATAAGTTGTCCTCTCTCTCTCTCTCCCTCTCTCTCTCTAAATATAAAATTTTCTATTTAAAAAAGGAGAAGGCACTTGGGAGACAGAGGCAGGAGTTCGAGTCTACAGAGTGAGTTCTGGGACAGCCAGGGCTACACAGAGAAACCCCATCTCAAAAAAAAAAAAAAAAGAAAAGAAAAGAAAAAGAAAGGAGAAATTAGAAATTAACATCCAAGTTATTCATATTGGAAGTGGCTCAAGTTAAAAGGAATTTAGATAGGGCTGGAGAGATGGCTCAGTGGTTAAGAGCACTGACTGCTCTTCCAGAAGACCATGTTCAATTTCCAGCACCCACATGGCAGCTCACAACTGTCTGTAACTTCAGTTCTAGGGGACCCAACACCCTCACATAGACATATATATAGGCAAAATACCAATCCAAAAAAATAAGGATAATAAAAAAGGGATTTAGACTAATTTTGCTACTTTTATTATTAGCAAGAATGAAAATTACTTTGTTTCTAAATTTGTTCCCTTTTATATGAATTATCTGAAACGTTTCAATGAGTAGAATTTAATAAATAATTCTTTTTTTTTTTTTTTGGTTTTTCGAGACAGGGTTTCTCTGTGTCTTTGGAGGCTGTCCTGGAACTCGCTTGGTAGTCCAGGCTGGTCTCGAACTCACAGAGATCCACCTGCCTCTGCCTCCCGAGTGCTGGGATTAAAGGCGTGTGCCACCAACGCCCAGCCCTTAATAAATAATTCTTAAAATTAATTTAAAAATCTATGTGTCTGTTCAGGGGGATTTAAAATTTAGGGAAGTATTCCTATATTTGTGTCTATAAATGTGTTTGTGTATATAAACATGAATGGTGTCCTGCATAATTTTATGTCAGCTGGACATAAGCTAGAATCATCTGAGAGAAGGGAACCTTGGCAGAGAAAACACCTCTATAAGACCCAGTTGTAGAGCATTTTCTTAATCAGTGATTGATAAGGGAGGGCCCAGCCCACTGTGGGTGGTGCCATCCCTGGGCTGATGGTCCTGGGTTCTACAAGAAAGCAACTACTAAGGAACAGGAGATCACTTCCTAAATAGAACACCAGCAGCATAGGCTCTGAAAGCAACGATTAATAAACGGGACCTCCTGAAACTGAGAAGCTAACTTCCATTTTCTACTGGAACTCTGTGTGTGTGTGTGTGTGTGTGTGTGTGTGTGTGTGTGTGTGTGTGTTATCCGTGTGTGGATGTGTGCGTGCACTTGGCCGCCAGAGGTCAATGTCAGTCACCCGCCACCTTAGTTTTTGAGATTAGGCCTCTCACTGAACCTGGAGCTCATAGATTTGCTAGTCTGACTGCCCAGAAATCTGCCTGTTGCGGTATCCCCTGTTAAATCCCACCCTGTGTGGGAGGAGCTGGGCATCCAAATTCAGGTCCTCATGCTTTGTGCCAAGCACTTTTTTCTGAGCCGCCTCCCCAACCCCTCTACTGCAAACTCGTTAAGGGGAAAAAACATCACCTTATATTTCTTGGTGACCCCGATGCTTTGTAATGACTCAATGAATCACCAGTCCACGTAGTAGCCAACTATGACCATCCTTCCCCAAAGTCTGTGCTGTCGCTGCCAATTTATGACGAAACTCAGCCTGAGACAACAGAAAGTATGAAACCGCTTCAAAATGGACCAATAATAATATTTCTCATAGTTCTAATTGGGGAGGAGCCGGGAGAAGGCTCTGGAATTAGAAGAACATCATGGACGCTTCTAGGAGATGAGGACCAGGAGAAAGATATAAACAAGCACGAATACATAGGAAAGAAGCCTGTGTGTGCAGACTGTGTGGGATTCCTTAACCAGGGCACCTAGTTCGCCAGACACCTAAGAACCCATCCTGGCCAGAGGCCTTATGAATGTGAGCAGTGTGGGAAAAGCTTCCAACAGAGTCCGATTTCGTCACTCACGGTCGAGGTCACCCAAGAGAGAAACAGCAGTTGTGAGAAAAAACTTCAGCCATAGCTCCACACCTGGAAAAGCCTAAGAACCCACAGCGGTGAGAGACCCGACGAGTGCCCAGATCCTGGGAAGACCTTTGGGCGGTGGCCCCGTCTCAGCGCGTACCAACGAATGCACACGGTATCAAAGCCCTACACGTGCTGGGGTGTCATTAAAGCACTAGTGCTCAAATTTCATCACCCACCAGGGGACCCACACGGGGCGGAACCTTACAGGTATAAGTAAGCACTGCCGGGATGGCCTCAGCCAGAGCTCAGGCTTGATCAAGCACCATGGAACCCACACGGGAGAAAGGGTTTTCAAAGCCCATGGTGCAGGAAGGGCCTCGGGGGGAGCTCTCCTTTTGTGGCTCACGTGAATACACTCTCTTCAGTTGTCCCAAATGCCACTCATCAGAGGACACCATGGGTGAGAGGCCTTGTGCAGCGACTGTGGGAAAGGATTGTTGGAAGCTCGGCCCTCGTTAAAAACACCAACAATCCATACAGGAGAAAGACCCTACAAATTCCAGTGTGGGGAGAGCCTCAGCCAGACTTCCTACTTCACAACCCATCATCGTAGCCGTCTGGGAGACGACCCTGCCCGCGACCCGAGTGTGGAAAGACCTTCATCCAACATTCCTGTGTTCTCACACACCAGAGAACACATACAGCAGAGAAACCAGTTCACTTTGGAAAACGTGACAAGAACTGCTGGCGGAAAGCATATCTTTTTTTTTTTTTACAACAATCTGTAATGTTTTATTAGAATTAGCTATTAAAGACATTGCACCTTTCAAGTCTGTGACTGAATTTAATGATGCTCTACAGTGGCTTTATTACAATAATGCTTGACAATATTTAATAGTGAATTCAATTACTTCACATTAATGTTTGCCAATACATTATTCACAATTCTTAAATATTTTAAATCAACCAACCTAGAAGTACACAAGGCTTTCTCTCAACTCTTCTGATGGGACAGGAAGACTGAAAGAAGCCTGGGCCTGAGTCTAGTGTCTAATCCACAACAACTACATCATCACTGGTGAACTCATAGGTAGGCACTTCCAGGTTGAGAGGCGCAGGGCCCCTCCTGATCCTGCCAGAGGCATCATAGTGTGACCCATGGCACGGGCAATAATAGCCACCGAAATCTGCGTTTGCAATGGGTACACAACCAAGATGAGTGCAGACACCTATCAGAATAACCCATTCCTGTTTCTTTACTTGCTCTAAATCATGCTGTGGATCCCTTAGCTGGGACACTTCAACAGCAGCTTCCTGGGCAATCTCCTTTTGGGTTCTGTGGCACACAAACAGAAGTTTGCCTCTCCATTTGAAAGCCATGTTCTTTCCTTCTGGAGTATCAGACAACTTGATCTCAATCTTCGACATGGCCAGTACATCAGCAGACGCGCTCATGCTGGAAACAAACTGGATGACCACATTCTTGGCAGCATATGCAACACCCACAGTAGCAGTTGCAGTTACCAGATACGAGAAGCCTTT